CACAGGGCTTGCCCCTACCAGAAATGAGCTGGATCAGAAGCGGTTTGGCATTTCAGACTTGCACCGCTTTGTTTTCCCACCGTTTTCCTCCCGCGCGGGTGATCAATTTTTTTTAAAAAAACGGTCGATTTATAGCGCTTATAGCGCTATAGCAGTATAACAAAACACTCCATGCATTCCAATGGGATTGATATAATGCTATTCCGTTATACCGTTATAGCGCTATAACACTATAAATCGACCGTTCCAAAAACCCCAAAAAACAAAAAAACAGCCGGAGATCGCCCGCGCGGGCGAAAAAAGGCGGGAAAAAAGCGTATCGGAACCGGGAGAGGGCACTGGAGACCACTTGGAAGTGGATGACAGGTAAAACGCTTCAGTCCCGGTTCCTAAACGGGACTGAAGCGTTTGTGTATGAAATGGCAAATAGATTCCGGAAGGGAACCGGTTCTCAAACGGGTTCTGTCTGAAATGACAGACCAGAGCCTGTTTGAGAACCAGTTCCCTTCCGGAATCTATCGCCTGTCTGAAATTCCCCAGCGTTTTATTGTTACCCATCACTCCACGTGCCCCGCTTAACCATTTTTCTGTCTTTGCCGGTTTTCGCACAGCTGCTCATTTAACCTCACACCGATTATTATTCTTTATTAGATTTATTAATCACCCCATCCTGGTTTATGCCGGGCTCTGGGAGATCCAACTGCAAGAGCAATACTTTTTCACAGTTCAGCACTGGACCCAAATAAAGAACCGCTTTCGTTCATCTGTTTGTTTATGATCACACAGCAAGCGAACAGGGTAGAATATTTGCACGGCTGGAACGTCAGGCAGCGTAACTGTACATTCAAAGCTACCAAGATTAGTTCTTTTCACATCTAACTAACTTCAGCAAGGCTGGTGGGGGGGTGAGATTCAAATGTTAATATTTGCCTTTCTGCTGACTAATTTGTCTCACTGGGCATTCAAGAAGGCCCGGATGATGAGTCAGCAGTTCTGCCGACTATACTTTTAAATTGTGAGAACGGGCCCGGTGCATAAACCGGGAAAGACTCCAAACACCCTTGGACGGTTGAAGTGGAAAGACGGGGGACCCGAACGACTTTAATTTGGCGAGCCGCAACAAAATGTTTAAATTTAATTACTTCCCGCGAGCTCGACTCAGCTCTACATGAGCAGCGGAAAGGCTGCAAAAAAGAAAGCAAATGCTATCTCTGAGCTTTCTTCGGCCCAGCAGTGAGGGCGTATCAGCCGCCGCCGCCGCCGTTTCCATCCATTGCCCTGTCTTGTGTCTTTTTAAAATCCTCACTCCAGCATCCTTCCCCACTTGGCAGGAGCTAGAATCGACATGAGGGGAAGTGTAAACTTTAAGATAAACATATGAAGGTGCCTTATACGCAATCAGACCATTGGTCCACCAACATCAGTATAGTCTACTCAGACTCGCAGCGGCTCTCCAGGGTCTCATTCCGAGGTTTTCCCCATCACCTACTGCCAGTGTCCCCTCTGAGCTGAGTTAGTGTGAGCTAGCTCAGTGTTTTTTAGCCTCTGGCTCACACATTTTTGTCTTCGCTCAGGAAGGATGACTCCAGAGTAAACTGATTTATGCAGTAGCCAAATCCCTCGCTCGCAACTTTAATGCCCAGTAGCTCACAAAGCAGAATTTTTGCTCAGAAGACTCCACGGTCTCATCAGATCTCAGAAGCTAAGCAGGGTCGGCCCCGGTTAGTACCTGGATGGGAGACCACCAAGGAAGTCCAGGGGTACTACGCAGAGGCAGGTGATGGCAAACCACCTCTGAGAGTCTCATGCCAGGAAAACCCCATAGGGTTGCCATAAGTTGGCTGTGACTTGACGGTAAACCCCCCCCCATTATTCCCAAGAAACCATGCAAACAGAGGAGACACAATGGGAGGGCTTCTGGAGTTCTGGCTCCACTGGTGGACCTGCTGATGGCACCTGGGGTTTGGCCAATGTGCGACGCAGAGTGTCAGACTGGATGGGCCACTGGCCCGACCCAACATGACTTCTCTTACATTCTTATGTCTGGGGCAGTGATGCTCTGT